CCCGCCCGTCCCGACGCGCGCGGACGCTACGTCGGGCTCTCCGGCGCGAACGCCACCCGCGAGAACCTGGCGCGGGCGACGGTCGAGGGGATGCTCTGCGGGCTCGCCGACGGCGTCGACGCCCTGCGCGAGCAGGGTGTGCCGGCCGAGCGGGTGCTGCTCATCGGGGGCGGCTCCCGCTCCCGCGCCGTCGCCGAGCTCGCCCCGGAGGTGTTCGGTATGCCCTCGACGGTCCTCGAGCCCTGCGAGTACGTCGCCCTCGGCGCGGCGCGGCAGGCCGCCTGGGCACTGCGCGGCGAGGAGCCGGCGTGGACGGTCACCCGCGAGCGGGAGCGCCCGGCCGGCGAGCAGGCCCGGGCGGCGACGGTCCGCGACGCCTACGCGGCGGTCCGCGACGGCCGCGCGACCTGAGCCCCGCTCAGCGCCACCACCACCGCCGGGGCAGGACGCCGTCGGCCCGCATGGCGGCGACGAACGCGGCGGCGTCGTCGCGTGCCGAGGTGCCCGTCCGCCGCGGGTGGGCGGCGACCCAGCGGTCGAGACGGGCGTCGAGGTCGTCCCCGAGCCGCGCCGCGACGTCGTCTGCCACCAGCCGGGCCAGCACCCGCCTGCGCTTGGCGCGCAGGCCGTCGGCCTCGGCGGCGAGCCGCTCGCGGTCGAAGCCTGCCGGGGCCGGAGCGCCGTCGACCAGCGCGGCGAGCAGGGCCGCCTGCCGTGCGGCGAGCTCCTCGCGGCTCACCGGCGGACCCGGTCGTGCACGGCGCGCAACGCCGCGAGCTCGGCGGCCAGATCGTCGTCCGGCGGGTAGCGGCCGTCGCGCTCGAGCAGGACCGCGGGCGGGCGCCCGCGCTCGCACAGGTCGTCGAGCAGGTCGAGCACCGGCGCGCTCAGCGGGTGGGTGTGGGTGTCGTGGTAGAGCCCGTCGTGCTCGACGCCGCCCGCGGCGTGGACGTACGCGACCCGCTCGAGGGGCAGCTCGTCGAGCGTGTGCCGCGGGTCCTGTCCGAGGTTCACGCGCGCGGCGTGCAGGTTCGCGACGTCGAGCAGCAGCCCGGCGCCGGTGCGCTCGCAGAGCTCGGCGAGGAACGCGCCCTCGGTCAGCTCGTCGTCGGGCCAGGCGAGCAGTGGCGCGATGTTCTCGAGGGCCAGCGGGACCCCCAGCAGGTCCTGCGCGCGCCGGACGTTGTCGACCAGCACCGTCAGCGCCGTGCGCGTGCGCGGGACCGGCAGCAGGTGCCCCGCCTCGAGCCCGCCCGCGCGGACGAACGCGACGTGGTCGCTCACGAGCGGCGCGTCGAGCGCGGCGGCGACGGCCGCGAGGTGCTCGACCCGGTCGGTGCGCAGGGGCTCCGCCCCGCCCAGCGAGCACGACACGGCGTGCGGCACGACCGGCAGTCCCCGCTCGCGCAGGACCGTGACCGACGCGGGCAGCGCACGCGGGTCGATGTCCTCGGCGAGGACCTCGACGAAGTCGACCCCGGGGAGCCGC